AACCCTGAGCAACAGAGGGCAAAAAGGAACGCGCATCCTTCCAAGAGCAAAAGCGCGAGTCTAAGCCCCTTGTCAGAAACATCGGAATCCTGTTCAATTCTCTCCATCCCCTTTGTCTGAAGTGCAGCTGAGTTTTTCAGTCATTTGCCTAAGCCGTGAACAATAATGGGAGATGAAGACAGCCTGGCCTGTCCCCTCTTCTCTCCCTCCCTCCACGGACACAGCTTCCAGTTGTCACCCAAACTGCGATGTCTTCTAGGCAAGTTATAGAGCACTTTGGTACGTGGCATCTCATTCTGTCTTTTCGACCGGCTGTTGCGATCGGTCCTGTTATTTGGACTCAGAGTTTACGTAGCTCACCCAGGGTGACACGGCCCACAAGCAGGAGCGTGGGATGTCTGACTGCATCCCCAAACACCTCCCTCCTCCCCACAAGGCCTTGCCCATTACAAAAAGGAAGCGGAGCTGCACCTCCTGCTCCAGAAACATCAAGCAGCTCGAACTCAGGGATATTCAAGGCAGCCATGAATCTGGAGACCACGCACGGTGGCCAGGGAGGGCGGGGCTGGGACACTCTACGTGGCTTTGTGTTCCATTTCACTAGTCCTTTCTGGAATTCTAAGGTCATAGTCCCATCGTTGCTTGCTTTCTTCTTCCTTTTTTTAAACCTTGATATTAATAGGTTCTCCTAACCTTTGTTTTGTTGTTTTAAACCCACAATGTCAAGGGAGAAAAACAGTCCATCTCAGCCACTCCTCTCTACAGATTAAAAGGTACATCCTGCCCAGCAGAAAGGTAATAAATGCTCCCCATCACGCTCTCCTTGTAACTGTCTTCCTTCTCTCACCTTGGAGAGATGTGTGCTCCATCCTCCTCCTCCTCCTCCTCATTCAGCCCTTCCTGCCACAAATCTAGGCAAAACTGAAATAAAACAGCCCTCAACAGCAGCCTTCCAGATCGAATGTTCTTTCAAATGGCCACTCACGAGGTTCGTCCTTGCCATGAGGCTAAAAACCTCTGTGGGGATGCCCTGCGGATCACCTGCTGTCTTGACTGCTCTGTCCGTTTGTCATTTACATCCATGTGGCCTATGGCAGTGAGCTTTGTCACACCAGGCCTGGTGACGGCTTTCAGCTCGCTTGATACAGCACCATGCTCTTCATGAACAAGGGACAAATATGCGCGCTGTCCTAAACCGTGAACAGGTGCAGGAAGGCTCTGCATCTCAAGGAAACAATCCATTCTGCTGCATTCTTTGACAATTAGCTGCAAATGATGAAGGCTGCTGATAGCCGAAGCTTAGAGTGAGTCAGAGCCAGAAGACAGTTTTATCTAACTTGGAGGGGAAAGGGGAGAGTTAAAGCCAAACAGAAGCTGCATGCTCGCCCCTTCTCTGGCTGCAGGGTGGTCTGCAGCTGGGCCCACAGCTGACCGGAGCCCGGGCCAGAGTCCATGGCTAACCAGAGCCCATGGCTGGCCAGAGTCCACAGCTGACCAGACCCCAGCAAAGCTTCCTAGACACGCTGACTTCTTACATGCCTTCAACTGTCATGAAACACTCAGGGGAAAGAAAATCTAGTACAGAGAGTGAGCAAGTGAAAAGTGGGGAAAGAGGGGGCCGGCAGATGGCCTAATGGTTATGTCGCTGGACTCTCACATAGCCAGCTGCTGTTTGAATCCCAGATCTGGTGGCTTAAACTCATGCCAGGCATGTGTGTGTTCATGTGTGACCAAAATCCAGAGAGGAAAATAGAGAAGGGTTTGTGGCATGGCCATCTTCCCTGGGGAGTGATTTCTCACTTTCTGTCTCTGTCTCTCTAGCAAGCGCATGCGCCCTGTAGCAAAAATCTCTCTAAAAAAATGAATAAATAAGTGGGTAAAGAGAATGACTGTGCCCCCCTCCCCACTAGGACATCAGAAATGGAGAATCCTGCGATGGTGGGTGTGTCCCTGATTTGAAATGACTCGTCACAACAGTCACAACAAGGTGAGCCTACCCAGGAGAGATCACCCAGCCCTTCTCCTGCACCTCCCTTCTAGGAGCCAGGTCTGCTCCGCTAGAGAGAAATCTTTCCTTCTCCTTTCAGATCATTCTAAAATGTCATCCTACTGCTTGGCCCTCAGCCTGTGGGAGTTTGTCACCTGAGAAGCAGGTACAGAGAATCATCGGGTCTACCTGGATGGAGAGCTTCACCCATGAATGTAGGCTCAGGGCACTGTGGAGGTACCTGTGTGTGGGTGCGTCCTGGTCTTTCGATAAAATGAGACGCCTGCCCTCACTGAAATGCCAGTTGTCTGGGTGGTACATTCAGAGTTTCACTCAGAATTTGTTAGAAATTATTCATTAGTGATAGTTTAAAAATATGCATTGTTTTCTGAATTTGTTATTCATGTAAAGTTTTACCAGAAACAAGTAGGCTAAAGTATTCCCAGAAATACATATACGAGACCCTGCCACAATCCAGTATGCCTTTACCAGCAACCAACAGCAAAACACAGGGTCCTAAGAATGTTCGCCCTCAGTCATATTTCCTACTTCCTAACTCCAAATGGGAAATCTGATCCTTAACCATCCACCTGAAATTTAGACAGGGGGGAAGGCAGTGCAAATTGAAGCCATTTCATGTAGCAAACTGACAGGTTTTGGAATCTCCAGTTCGTGCTAATCATATATGAAAGTGCAGGTTTCAATGAAAAATGCAATCAGCATTGCTTTGTTAAAATTAAATTGTTTAGGGGCCAGCAGGTGGTGTGGTGGTTGGGACTCTGAACTTCCACATGGCTGGCGGTGGTTCAAGTCCCAGACCTGGCTTGCTTTCTCACTTTCCTTCTCCCACTCTCTCTCTCTTCTCTCGGGTGAGTGCACAGGCTCTTTAGCAAATTAAAAATATAATTTGATAAATTATTCTAAAATTTTTTTCTTCTTTCTTTTGAGAGATTTTTGCTATAGGGCCCATGGGCTCACCAGGGAGACAAAGAGAGAGACAGAAAGTGAAAAATCACCCCCTTCAGCGGGGAGGGCCACACCATAATCCTTTCTCCATTCTCTTGGGATCTGGGACATGCACGCACACATGCCTAGTGAGTTTCAAGCTGCCAGGTCTGGTACTCAAACCAGGGCTGGCCATGGGGGAGCCCAGCACCTTAACCACTATGCCACCTGCTGGCCCCCTAAAGCTATTCTGAATTGTTTAAATAGAAATAGACTACTCTAATGTAAAAAGATGTCTAAAACGATAAGGTAAGTCTGGGTCAGCTAACTCCTCTCCCTTGATGATGCAATGCTTCTTCTCTCTTTAACACCAATGGATCGGTTCCAGGTCATTTCCGCCTGTCTCTGCCCTGCTCTGACACGTTTTTTTAGTTTAAACACCTGAGTTCCAGGAGACCAATGCATGTATGACATGCACTATTGGATTGAATAGCTACTTGTACCCAGTAGGCGGTAGACCCGAGGATGAGAGATTTTTGTACAATTATAACTTAGCTTTATGATCTTATAAGCACTTATTTTCAAGACATTTTTATGTACAATACTCTAATACAGACATGTAGATCTTACACTTAAACTACATCAGAAATAATATCAGACATATTTGCAAGTTCTGAGTTGGGAAAGAAATCATGAATAAGGATGTTCCAATCACTATTCTCCTACCAGTTGTTATTTTGAAGTTTTAGAAGCATGAGAGCGGATTGTATCAGCAGTGATCCACTGAGGTCATTGTACACAGCTTGCATTGTTTTCCATTTAAATCTGATTGCTTCATTTTAAGGTTTTCAGAAAAAGATTTCTTTCTTTCTGTTTTTTTTCTTTCTTTCTTTTCTTTCTTTTTTTTTTTTACTATTAGGTACATGTGCTAGTAAGAGAGAAAAAAAAAACACCCCCAAGGGGGATGGCATGCTGCAATCCCTTCTCCGGATCCAGGCTCAAATAGCTCAGTTGGTCATGTGGGGTCTAGCTGCCTTAACCACCACACCACTGGCTGGCCCCCAGGAAGCTATCAGCAATCCCAGATTCTCGATATAATCTAAGGTAGCTGAGACTTTTTAATTTTAGCTTAATTTAAAAGTGCTCACATTTTGAAATATAGTCACACCCCTTATATAAGCAGTAATGATACTGTGCACCCTACTTCTGAGAGCAGATATAGCCTTTAGGCCAGTAAACAGCAACATCACATCTCTGGAGAGGTCCCCATGTGCTGATTTTTCTTTCTTTATTTTTAAAGAGAGCTTTTTACTATAGGGTACGTGTGCTTGCCAGAGAGTCAGAGAGAAACAGAGAGACAGAAAGTGAGAAATCGCCCCCCTGTGGGGATGGCCATGCCGCAATCCCTTCTCCTCCATTCTCCTCTTGGGATTTTAGGCACGCATGCAAACATACCTGGCGTGAGTTTTAAGCCGCCGGGTCCAGGACTTGAACCGCGGTCAACTACATGGGAATCCAATGATATAACCATTATACCATCTGCTGGTTCCCAGCTGATTTTTCTTTTTAACTGTTGAAACTCAGGCCAGTCACGTTAGCCATGTCTACAATGGCCCAGGAGAGTCAAACACAAATGAGTGTACAGAAAGTGAGAAACACGGGCAAGGCTGCTGGGTGCTATCGCTATCGTTTTCCAGGTAGAACACTGTCCCCCAGTTACACAAGATGTTACCATTGGAGGGATCTGCCACGGGGTGTAGAGGATTCTCAGTATGAACACATATGTACTAGTTCTGTAAGGATTACTAAGAAATTATTCCCACCGCCTGTTTCTGAGGAGGAAAACTACAGAAGGAGTGATAGAATGTATATTTACTTTTCAAAGTGCCTGTTGAATTTCGGGCTATTGGTATTTCTCATTTAAAAAATAACGTGGAGGGTAAGGATGACATAGACATTTGCAAAACAAAAACACCTGAGCAGACAATGAAAACCTGGCAAACCCACGTCCAGAGCCATGTCTGGCACCCACACCAGCAGTGAAATGTAGGACTTGTAAGTAACTTACGGCTCGAGATGCAGTAGGACAGCCTGCAGTTGATCTTCCGGAAGAGCTGCTTGTTAATGGGCCAGAGAACGAGCGTGAAGAGCTGGATGGTGTTGATGATCAGCCCCGAGGCAATAAATACATAACAGAAGACGAGGTGGCACAGGAACTGAGACTTCAGCAATCCGATGAGGTCCATGGCGTGGGGTCGCTTTTACTCGGAAGTAAACAATACACGCAATACGATGTTTCCCGAAGGAAGAAAGATCCCGGACTCAGGAACGCGCCTAAAACACAAGCCAATGTTAAAGGTTAGCCAAATGTGATGTGATTTCATAGTCAGAAAAAAAATGCTTTCAAAGAAAAACAAAAGGACCAGCCGGTGGTGTGGTGGTGAAGATGGCTGGATCCCACATGGCCAACTGCATGGTTCAAGTCCTGGACCTGCTGGCTTGAAAAACATGCAGGATGCATGTGCGTGCATGCCCCAAATCCTGAAAGAGGGAGAAATGGTGGAGAAGGGATGCCGCATGGGGGTGGGGGGGTGCTTTCTTGCTTTCCCTCTTTCTTGGTCTCTCTCTGGCTAGCATGCACACCCTCTGGCAAAAATAAAGAGAAAGCAAGCCATACTGAGGTTAAACTCAGGGTACATTAGTTGACTTATTTTTATTTAGCAAACATTGATAGAACACCTATTGCACACAACCTAAACCCTTTAATATAGTTCTCCCTTTTATTCTCCTAGTACCCTCTGAGGTCTGCACTATTTTATTCTTTCAGTTGAGGAAACAAAGGCCCAGAGAAGTGAAGCCACTTGGCCAAGGTTCTACAGCCTCAAAGCTAGCAGTAGCTGGGCCGGCTGCAGGGTCCCTTCCCAACCACATGGCCGCCTGGGCTGCCAGGACACAGCACAAGTCCCATCTCAGAACCTCACTCCCCGGGCCATCTCAGTGCCAGCCCTCATCCCCCAGGCCTGGGCCTGCCCCTCACCTCTACAGGCTGGCCCTGAAGTCAATCAAGCCTTCCCAGGGCCAGATTAGGGGTACAGCCTGGAGCTGCACCCCGAGCTCCCTGTACGAGATTTGCTATGTTCTGCTATTGCTCACTGCATTGCCTGCCCTCCTCCAGGTCTGCTTCTCCAGGATCATGTTGATTTTAAAGATCATTAAAGGTGTGGCCTCCCCCATGCCTTTGAATGAGTCATTGGCACATGGTACGGCTTAATTTAAAAATGTATTTGTATTGGGACCAGTAGATGGAGTAATGGTTACATCACTGGATTCCCATGTAGTCAGTCAACTGTAGTTCAAGTCCTGAACCTGGCGGCTTAAAACTCACATCAAGCACATGTGCATACATGCCCAAAATCCCGAGAGGAGACTGGAGGAGAAGGGATTGCCGTGTGGCTATCTCCCCGGGGGGGTGATTTCTTGCTTTCTGTCTCTCCAGCGAGCACATGTATATATTTGTAGAATAATTTAGTGAAGGTAGGCAAAGGCTGAACTTTAAGGATATCAGTGAATACGAAGGCAAGAAAACTAGCCCCACCACACCCCAGCCACACACGCAGGCACACACACACACCTTAAGAGTTCTAAAGTCAGAAAGGGACTCAGCACATACAGAGCAAGCAGAAAACTAACCCCACCACACCCCAGCCACACACACACAGCTACACACACACAGGCACACACACACACACACACACACACACACCTTAAAAGTTCTAAGGTCAGAAAGGGACTCAACACATACAGAGCAAGCAGACTCACAGCCCTGTAATCCAGGTTCCAAAGGGAGCAAATAAATGACTTTAGACTTTGGCAAATAAAGCCATTCAGGAAGGGGTGAAGACAGGAGCTTGGATTCTCAGACAGGAAAGAAAGCTGCACACAGCAAAGCCCCCAACCCCAGCAGAATATCGCTCAGCCCAGCCCAGGAAGAGCTCACATTTTAGGATGAACTTTCTAACAGAATTGCTCAGAGGCCCTGGATTTGCTATCTTTATTTATAATACCCTAAAATGAATGATCTGTATAATTTTACATATATTAACTCATTTTAAGGTTCCCGTGAGTACCACAAGATGAGTGTGAGGGGGGTCTTCAAAAAGTTCATAGAAGGGACCAACAGATGGTGTAATGGTTATGTCACTGGACTCCCATGTAGTCAACCATGGTTCAAGTCCCAGACCAAGTGGCTTAAAACTTACACCAGGCGTATGTGCATGCATGCCCCAGATCCCCAGAGGCGAATTGAGAAGGGATTACAGCCATCCCCCCGGAGGTTGATTTCTCACTTTCTGTCTCTCTGTCTCTCTCTGTCTGTCCAGCGAGCACACATGTCCTATAGAAAAAAAATCTCTCTCAAAAAAAATGTTCACATAAAATAAATAGTATGAAACTATTATACATTAGATTTCAATGTTATTTTTGCATGAAAATAAACTCATACTTTAACTCCTTTTTCCTACAAACTTTCTGAAGTTCCCCCATCTTACTTAATATTATCTTATTTTCAGAATAAGCAACTGAGGCAACTTAGGTTGGGCGACTTGCTTAAGCACATAGATACCATCAGTAACTGCTCTTAGGGCTCAGTTAACCCTCAGCTGCTGCTCCTGCAAGTCTGGGCTGTTTTGCTCCTGGGTGATGAGGGTGTTTTCTAGGGCTCAGAATTCCTCTCTGTAGCGCAGCCTGGTAACGACCCGAAGGACAGAGACGGTGAAGTTCATACCCACAGAGCATGCTCACAGTGGGGGAATGGAGCCGCTCTTGGCTCTGAGGATGGTCTCCGGCACATGCCAGTCACAAGGGAGGTGCACAGAACGTGCTGAGACCCTGGAAGGGATCTTGCTTTTCCATATGGTCCCCATACGTTTCGGGCAGGAGGAAAGCGGAAAGGAACCTCTGGCTTCATGGCTCTGAAACCAGCATAGCTTAGCTGAGATAGCTCATCCTCTCCAGGGAGCACCACTCTGGCACAAACCATCACCTCTCTGGCCTTTCTAGGCGGCATTTCCACAGATATGCCCAGCCTCAAAGGAAGAGGCTCTAAGTTCGCAGCTTACTCTCGACACATGTGACTTTCAGAGGCACACAGACAGGAGCAGGTTACATCAGTTACGGTTTGGCAGCAAATACAGTCGAATGCTGAATATTCACGCAATTTACTCATTGTTCCTGGGTTAGTCGCTAATAGTTTCAAGACAAGCTAGCCAGAAGGAGTTGGGTAGGTTTCTGTGGCCTAGAGATTATAGATTATTTGACAAATTCTTTGCTTTGCTAAAAAGAAAAGAGAGGTATCCAACATTGGAAATGCAAGAGGTTAAATGCTGCTTTCCTTTATGGTTCGCCACAAAAAAAATAAATAAATAAATAAATTAAGATTTTCTTTTTTCCTTGGTAAAATTTCAAGGGCCACCACACCCTCGGGTAAAACCCACGCTGGCCCTGCATAAAGGAGGCTCTAACACGATGTAGAGGTGACTGCAGGTAAGCTTGACTACTTCAGTTCTTGGGTTTTCAACCTCCACGTCCTCCCTCCGGTCCCCTTGCCCCCAGCACTGTGGCTGAGCATGGACTTGGGGCTCAAGCGCCAGGTGTGAGGCTCTGTTCGGTCTGTCTAGCCATTCGCCATGGGTGAATTAACTTTCTCAAATCTCAGTTTAGGGTAAGGCCCCTAGCCTAGAGTTAAGGGAGCCGGATCTAACACGGGTGACCGTGGTTCAAGTTCCAGCACCGGTGGCTTGAATAATACGCTGGGCACATGCATGTACCCCAAATGCCAACAGGATCGGAGGATGGAGAGGGGACTGCAGTGTGACCACGCCCCACTCGGGGATCCTTTCTCCCTTTCCTTCTCTGTCTCTCTCTGGAGAGCGCCTATTTCCTCTGGGTATTAAAACATATAATAATAATAAAACTCTATTTCCCTAGGTATAAAAAGAGAGAATAGATTCTAACCAAAATCTCAAGGAGGCTACTGTTTTTTGATTTTGCAGTACACCAGTCAATTCTTAGATTTATATACAAAAGCAAAGACAAACATAGTCTAGGAATTGCTGCAAAACAAGCGAGTGTGCCAAGGATGCAGTCGTAGGCAAAGTCGGGACGTAGTTTCCACGGAGAAACTTCCCCAACGACCTAGTAATCTAACTGACTTGAGTCCAAAGGCCAGTTACTAAGAAGTGAGGCTGGATCACTCAGGAGGCGTCTAGTGGGTGCATTCGCGATGTCTTAAGTTCATTACGGATCGAAGTTGGGAGGACTAGCCTTCCCCTCGTGGATAAAGGAGAGCGTTCTCTTCTAATGGGGCCCATTTGGGGCCACGGTGTGAAAAGATGGTATAAATATCCACCAGTGATGAAAGCAGCTGGAGGGACACAGCTGAAACAACTTTGTCTATATCCCCTTCAGCTTTGTAAGTACCTAGAATATCACTGGGAAACTCCAGCAAATTTACTTCGGTAGTTTATTACGAGAAAGAAGACATGATAAAGAATTTTATGCTGTTGCTGAGCCTGTCAGAGCAGTACCTTACGGAATTACTACTTAACAAATAACTTTGCAGCAGTCGGCATTTCCTGTGTCTGTGAATAAAGATTTCTCTTACCGTCACAGGCCACCATGAAGAACTTGTGTGCTCAAAAAGCCCAAAGTGACGTTGCCTTCTGCTGGTGTTTGCCACTTACAAAATCAAACAGCTGTAGTCTGTGTGTCAGAACTCCGCAGTGGCCTTTAACCTCCTGCCCCGTCCCCAAACTCATCCACGTGATCTTGAGGACTGCCCTGCCGACATGATGCCAAAGCCAGCCGGATCCCCTCCCAGCAGGGTCTCACGGTGAGATCTGGCTGCAGAGGACGGTGCAGGCCACCCCAGGAGGCAGCCAGAAGGGACACGACTCGGGCCTAATGCATGAGGCAGCGCAGAGAGGGGTCCGCTGGATGACGGGTCCCAGCACTTCACACTAGTGAGCTGAGGCGCCGGGAGAGCGGGCCGAAGAATGGAGACCTTTGTAAGAGACATTATGGAGCAAAGGAAAAAGGCCAGAAAACCCAACATGGACATGTTATCTGAATTTTCCCAAGGGTGGAGACTGACCATGAACTAAACATACATCATCCAAAAATTTCTGAAGAGCAGTTTAAACACAGACAAAAAGCAATGGTCACTAGGAACCACAACAGATTCAAGAGAGTAATTTACTCCAAATTGCCTTTATTCCCTAGGTTACTGACAGTTTAGTAGATTTTGAATTAACTAATCATTTGCCCAAGTCTCCGGC